AAAAAATACTCAATTACTTGTAGCTCACATTTTACAACCACATGCACCAAAAAAAAAAAAAGAGAGAGAAAGAAAGAAATTGGGGGAGGGTTGGTTTTTCAGCAGTTAAGTAAAATGTTTTGCCAAAGTATTTTGGCTTGTTAAGAAAAAAGAATTAGGCCACCATTCAATGTGGTAAGAAATTACACAGAAATCAATCTGGAAGACCAGCTCTACAGGAAGGGTGTTTGCATAAAAAGTCACCTTTTCTGAGTACAGATTTTAATAGGAGTGTAAACAACTAAAGGTTTTATTCAAAAAGCCTGCCCAAAGTACTATTTTGGTAGAACGGTAAGTTTTACCTACTTAAGTGAGATTTAACTCACTGTCCCAAAGTGGTAGCAAGAAAGGTATAACAACTTAGGTGTCCATTTTCAAAAAGAATATGAACTGTTCAAAGCTTTAAAAAAAATTCAAAATGTAATTTAAAATATACCAAGAATCCTATCTAAATTACCTAAAATTTTTCTCTATACAAAGCAACTTACAATTTGATTAAGATCTTTTTTTAAAAATTATTTCACTAACGTATATGTTCAAATATTTCAAGGACCCATGATGTCATCCACGTAGTTACTCTCTGTCTCCACCCCACCTTTATTTACATCTCAACCCCACTAGGACTTAGTGTAGTCTATCTTCATGAATTCTTGTGGCCAGAAAAACTCCTTTAGCGGGCAGCCAACTTTTCTGTGCTGAGCTTCAACAAACTTGGCTAAACTGTAACCTCCCCACATACATCACCAAGACAGAACCCCTCTTTGCAGCCACACTTGAAGTCTCTCCTGTTTGGATGCACCTGCCTGGGCTTCCCTTGCAATGCAATATCCTTTTGGGCTTAGGGTCACATCTACTTCATAATGCAGCATGAAAAGTAGACTTTAGCGGACATCCACCTTAGAGTTATTAAGTCAAATTCAACATATTTTATTGCAGCCTTACAGTTAGTTAATAAGTGAGTACATGACTAAAATATGAGTAGTAAGGAATGATGATTCCAATAGAGGCTTTGTGTAGACTAATAGAACAGACTGATTTTGGGTTGCTGTTTATAATTTTTCAAACTTTATAACAGGACACATGAGAAGGCAGAACAAAGATCAATTTAGAGTTGACAGAGGTCAAAGAGGTTCCTCATTTTACAGATGAGAAAACTGAGGACTATAGGTCAATACATTTCCCTAAAGTCCATACAAGTAATAAGTAGCAGCTGGAACTTCAAACCAGGTCTTCTGGCACCAAATCTAATGCTCTTTCCATCATATCAAGCTAACTTTCCACTATACCAGACTGGCCCTAACATCTGTATAAGGTCTACTTTTGTGGAGGAATGAGACTGCTTCTTAATAAATATATCAATACATACATTCAAAGTAGTTCAAAACACTTTTGGAATGGCTACTTTGGAATCACCTTCCAAAAACCTACAACACATCCCTCCCTAATATCATCAATAGTGAAAAATCTCATCCCTCAGATAGGTTTATAGCCTCCCATGGTTGTGGGACAGGATGGTATACATTTGGACAGGTAATTTCTGGTAATTTAAAAATCCATGTTTCATCTTATACTGATTTTTTTAACCAAGTCATTAAAACTAAATAATTCAAAAGTGTGATATCTCAATCTTAATTCATAAGCACATGATTCATCAATATAACACTATCTGAATTATTTAACTCAGATGATCATTTGGTTTCTTTAAATAAAAAAAAAGATTTAGATTAAAACAAGTACTAATACTTTAATTTTTCAATCTCATTTTCCTACCAAATCTTAAGATCCAAAGCTAGTAAAAAGATTTAGTTATGACATGAATATCAACTTTAGCTACAACAGTTAGTGTAAAGTTCACAGACTTTACAATGAAAGAAACTGAGACTCAGGGAAGGTAAGTGAACCCCCAAGGTCAAGTTAGTGGTAGACTGAGACCAGACTCTAGGTCTTCTCATTCCCAGGTCAGTCCTCTTTCCACTACACCAAATCATGATTTTGAAAGTAAAATCTCACATATGTAAAACTGCCACAATTTGAAACTTATCAACTACCCCAATTTATAAAACAACTGTATAAACTTTAATAAATGTATTCTTTAGAGTACAAAACTGTTCCTTTCCCAAAAATATATATTATGGCATCAATAAACTTGAGAAGCCTCTATACTTCAAGGATCTGTTATCTGCTCATTGTGGGAGATCAAAGAATCTCTTAGGAACTCTGTACGTGGTCTTGCCTTTCTTTCTATCCCCAGTGCTTATTATTAGCACAGTGCCTGGCATACAGCAAGTGCTTAATAAATGTTTGTGGACTAAAAGTTGTTATGGACAAAAAATGTACTGCACTTGCTGTCAATCTAGTAGAGATTAGCCTCTTCTGAACTCAGCTCACGTGGCACAACCACTATATAATGTATTCCATCGCCCATTCTGGAAGCTTTTCCAAAGTGGCAGAACCACAGAGATAGGATTCTGCTGGCACAGCCTTCAAGAACCCAAGGTCATCTCCCCATACTCTGTATCAGACCAGAGGACTTTAGCAGGGGAAGTATCCTCTTGTTTGAATGGATCTGTGATCTCATCCAGACCTATTCATGCCTGCCTATCCTTCATAGTCACAATAAACAAACAAACAAAAACACAATAAAGTCATGAAAATGCACTGTATTGTTTTCTCTAGGTAGTTCAGCACTTGTCCTGTATTGACTTCATTTGAAATTTCAACAAGATGTAAGAACTAAAGCTTCCTGCTTTGAAGGTTCTTGCCACCAAAAAGAAGTGGGCAGGCAGTGTACAGCATAACATAAAGAGCACTAAATTTATAATTAAAAAAAAAAAAAGATTAGTTTTCTAGGGTTCCAACACTGACTTGTGACCCTGGATGAGTCAAAACCTCTGAGGTTCAAATTCTTCTGTAAAATGTGGGTATTTCTTCTACTATTATTCACAAGACTGATGTGAGAGTCAAATAAGATACTATTATACACTTTTAACAGTAACACTACATAGTTTACTATTATTTGCTTCATGGGTTTTATTATTGATGGAAAAAATACTGGGATTACCTTAATATTACCTTGACAGGATGATTAAATGAATAAGCATTTTTTTTCTTTAATACTAAATAAACAGTATCTGTGTGCATTCAGGTATTTTAAAGCATAATGGTGATACTTGAATGCACACAGATACTATTTATGAAGAAGGTAGCATTACATTTAAGATCTTTATTTAATTACATCCACTAGCACCTATGCTATATTAATAGTTTAGTTAAAAACAACATCCACCAAAAAACATTTCAAAATTAATGATTTGTTATCACCAACAGTATGGAGTATGTGGATATGTGTATCCATATATAGATAGACAGATATAAAGATATATGCATATATATGTATGTATATGTGTATGTGTATATATGTATATCCACGTATATGTACAATACATACATGAATATATTTTTAAATATACATACACCCCATATAGTAATAATTTTAATATAGTAATAAGTAGCATATTGCACACTAATGTTATATAGTAATATACACTATGATATAATATATACTATGGTACTATAATATATAGCCCACAGTACATAGTATAGTAATATGCCACATTTATATACTAAGATATTATGATGTATACTGTATATTACCTACTCATATAGTATATAGCAGATACTTACAGTATATATTATGGGCTAATATAGTATATATTTATATAGGTATTTTTATACTAAAAGTATATGCTATATAATAATATAGGGAACAGATTATATTTATGTAGTATGTGTTACAGACTTATATAGTATTTATTTTACACTACTATAGTACGTGTTACATGCTAATATAGTATGTTATATACTTACAGAGCACATATTTTATAATTCTAAAGTATATGTCATATAACACATTGTGTATATTATGTACTATATAGTATGTAAAATATAGTAACATGCACCACATATAAGTATGCATGCCTATATAGACCCCTCTGCCGGTGACAGACACGGATGTGTGTGTGTGTGCGCGCGCGTTCCGGTCGGATGGCAAGCCCAAGCCCGCGAGGCCCGCAGCGGGCTCCCACGCGCGTCCCGCCCGGCCAGGCATCCCCACGGCCGGCGGCGCACCTGAGGAATGGAGGCTCGCGCGCGGCAGCAGCCGCAGCCCCCGCACGGCCGGGACCCCACTGGACGACCCACCCACATGCCAGGAGTCTCCACCGAGACAATGTGTGCCAGTGTCTGACAACACACAATCGGCGCTTCTGTCTCCGGGCTTCGGACGGGGACACGGGCGATGAATCGGGGAGACACAAACTTTGCCGCGCGCCGGGCCGGCGGGTCCGCGGCTCCCCGCCCAGCAGGAGCCCCCCCCACCGGGGGCGGGCGCGGGCCCTCCGCCGCGGGCTCCGGGGGCGCTGACCAGCACTCGCACGGGCATTGTCTGCCCCGAAGGCCCGGACGAGTGCGGGGCACTCGCAACCGCACACGCGCACTCGCCCTCCCACACACACGCGCGCACACTCACCCTCGCGGCATGACAATGTCAAATGTCCCCTCCCCCGCCCGCGCCCACTCCCGCCCGGGGACCCCCACGCGCGGCGCGGCGCCCCGGGGTCCCCGGCCCGGCCTCGGCCCTGCCCGCGCTCCGGCTGGCAGCGGCTCCGGGCGGCACGAGCCCACGGCCCCGGGCACAGCGCCGCGCAGGGCGGGCTCCGGGCGGGCTCCCGGCCGGCCTCGCTCCCGTCCCGCGCCCCCTCCCCCCCGGGCGCGCACACAATGGCCCGGCCCGGCCCCGCGGAGCGGCTCCCGGGGGCCCGGGCTCCGCAGCTGCCGCAGCCTCCGCCGGAGCCGGGCCTCCGGACTAGGCCCGACGCCTCCTCGGGCCTCGCGTGGCGGCGGCGGCGGGCGGGGAGCGGAGCCGGGCCGGGGGCGGGCGGACAGGCGCGGCGCCTCCTCACCATGTTGGTGTCCTCCAGGCCTCTCCTCTCCTCCTCCTCCTCCTCTCCTCCTCCCCTCCTCCTCCACCTCCACCTCCTCCTCCTCCTCCTCCTCCTCCTCCTCCCCGCCGCCTCCGCCTCCTCCCGGCTCCGCAGCGAATGGACGGCGGCGGCGGCGGCGGCGGCCTCGGCGGCGGCGGCGGCGGCTGCTCTCACAGCGCTTCCGGCTCACGCTCATGCGCAGTGCGGCCCCGCCGGCCCGGCCTGGCGCCCGCCGCCGCGGGGAGGAGGAAGAGGCCGCCGACGCTGTGGCGGGGAGGGGTGGGGTGGGGAGAAGCAGAGGGCCTGCGGCGCGAGGGGTTGGGGGGAATGGGAGGCTGAGGGGGCGGGGAGAGGAGGAGCAGGAGGTTGGGGGGG